AAAAGAAGGTAAGGTAGAAAGAGAGAAAAGAAGTTCAGCAGTTCGATTGGTGGTGGTGGTGATGGTCATGGACCAGTGGACACTGTTATTTCGCCAGTCCAATTATTATTATCATCATCGTCGTCGTCGTCATTTTCGTCGTAGTGCACACGGAAGTGGGCAATTGCTGTGAACAACTTCCAACTTGTGAACAAAGTAACTACTCAACGATCGTCGTCATCATCATCATCGTCTTCGCTTGAAGAAAGTGTGTGTGTGCGAGAGCTGAGGAAAGAGAGAACATCCGATTCGAAGATTGAACTAAATTGAACTGTGACCATCAATCATCAATCACCACTCGCAGCAGCTGATCATCTGGAAAAGAGATTAAGAACATTGACATTAATGACTGGCCTTCTTCTTTCACTTTTTTAGACACTTCGAGGACACAGGAGGAGAACTTACCAGTAAGGAGATTCATGCGACATAGAAATAAAAGTTCTTTTCAAAATAGAACAAAGACGCTGAGATTCTTGATTTTCGAACTGTTGAGATTTTCACATATTCTTCTTCACCTTCTTCCTGGTCACCCAGCAGCAGGTACTTCTTCAAAGGCCACCATCACCACCATCACTTTACCACGATGCTGGCAACAGAATCGACCGAATCGGAGAAGCATTGCCAAATTGGAGAATTCTAGTCAATTCTTTCTCCCTTTCTCTCGCTCTCTTCCTCACACTCTTTGAGCGCCGCTCACGTAACGTAAACAAAACCGGTCCGTTAGTCCTGATCAACGGTTACGACCTCTCCGAGCGGCGCGCCCAGCTGTCAGAAGTTGTTCTTCTTTTGGTTAGTTGGTAAACAAACGTCGCCGTTCTCTCGAAAAAAGAGTGACAAGTCTCTGAAGTAGAAACTTGGCTTCTAATTTTCGACCCAGAGATCATCCATCTCCAAAAATCGAACCATACACCCGTTCCATCAAAACCTACCACTGATCATCACCACCCCAAACACCACCAGTGGGGTGGACAAACTCCACTACCTCTAACGGTATCACCCCCGCCGCCAGCAGCATCGACTGCGCAGCTTTCGCTTTTGCTGCTTCACTTTCCTCTTCACCACTGCTCTACCCACTTTACTGTACAGCACAGCCAGGAGACACTCTACTGTACGACAACCAGGATTCCAGACGGAGTAGAGGGAAGTACGGCTGCTGCTGCTGCTCCCTTCTACTTCACCCACAACCACCACCACCGCCACCACCACCACCACCACGACGACTTCAGCAACAACAACCAAGTGAGCTGCTGCTGCTACTCTTCCACTTCATGTCAGCAGCTGCACCACCACCGCCACCACCACCAGCAGCAGCTGCAGCTGCCACACCAAACGACCCTGACTTCTAACAAGAAAGAGAGAGGGAGAGGATTCTCGTGCTCTGTACATTTCTACTTTTCTCTCTTTCCTTCCCGAAGCAGTCGTCTCGCGCCCGGACACCGTAGCACACCACTGGAACAGCAGCACCCGAACCAGACAGTAAAGCAAGTGCCGAGTGCGTGATATCTCTCACTCTCTCGAGACGTATGAGAAACGAGGAGAGAAAGAGAGAATTTGCGACGACGACGGCGGCGGCGACAGCAGAATTCGCGACGTCGTAATGTTTACGTTGCGCCGACGACCCGAAAAAGCTAGCTAGCCGCAGCAGCAGCAGCACCAGCAGCAGCAGCTTAGGAGCTGGTTCAAGAAGAAGAAGAAGAAGAAAAGAAGCAAAAAAAGTTGAGTCGTTTCCTTTATTTTCCTCCTGTCCGTCTCGTCTGCTGGTGCTCGTCCCGCGCCTCTTTGTGCCTTCTTCCCGTGTTTTTCCCCCTACTCGCCAAGTTCTCTACCACTCCTTTCAGATCTACTCGTATTCTCTCAGGCTTCTCCAGTTTCGTCAAGAAGAGGAGGAAAAGCTGCATCTTCTTATTTTCATCGTCACACAACCCAAAAAGAAAGCTCTTGTGATCACCACCTTTTGTTGTCTCTACCCGAGAGAAGGAAAGTGGACCGTTTAACTCCGCTTTTCTTCTCTTCTTTCAACTCCTCCGAATTTTCACACTCTGCCAACACTACTACTACCCCACCCTCTCTTTTTCGTTTCCTCTACAACTTACCGCTTCAAACTCACGCACCAACTCTTGAAAAGGCTTCTCTGAACTCTTTCTTTTCTTCTTCGACTCAAGTTCACTCTTTAACAATTCAGCTAAAAAGCTCTGCCGAGAAATTCTGGGTAAGTTTTTCCTTCTTTCTTTCTTTCACTTTATTATTTTATGGTTTTGCTAGGTGTTTGCTTGCCATTTTGTTAGTCTTAACTCAATTTCTCCACCACCGCCAGACTTGCGCCACTAGTCACGGCGGAAGTAAATTGCTGTGCTGTGCTGTAAGTCTAGTTCGGAGTGCTCTTGGGAGACGGGTAATCGCATTACCACCACCACACTCGCATTTTGTCAGGTGTAAAGTGCTTCTGTGTATGTGTGTGCAGTGTAACAATGTAACAGCTATAGCAGAAAGGGGGAGATTTTTATCATTAGTTTTATATCTATCTTCGGGACTTTTCCTGAGCTGAGAGGTCACATTTATGCCGAAGACCAAAGTATTTATTCTTTTTTATTGACACTTGACAATTGTAGACAACTGTAGTAGGAGCGATTCCCGCTGGTCCAATTTCAGACGGCAGCAATTGCAGCAGCAGCAATTCTCGTCTTTCTATGCAAATGTGGGGGGGAGATTGTCTTTTGTGGCCTGTAATATTGGCACGTTTGACACATAACAGCAGCAGCAGCAGCAGCAGCAGTAGCTGTTGTCTAGACTGCCGTCTAGTCGATCTCTCTGTCTGTATGTGATTGACGTTCTACAGCAGCACTGGACTAGGCTGTTCGGAGCATTGTGTAATCTTTATTTATTGTTATTTATTGCCTGAAGAGGAGAGAAGGGGAGAGAGTTGTTGCAGCCTGTCTAATCGGCTTATCGGGTCGATGAATTCCTATTGCCCCCTGCTACTGCAGCTGCAGTTGTAGCTGTCAGGTGACACTGTGCGGTGTTGCATAACATGCACACATTTAAATCACTATTGTTTTCCCCGGTGTGTAAACCTGGAGGTTATTGATTCGCCGTGTTTTTCCTTCTTTTCTTCATTCTGCAATGATACAATTTCAGCAGCAGCAGCAGCTGATTTGTGTTTATTATTTGCATGCGGTGGAAGAATAAATAAATAGTAGCGGAGCAGGACGGAGTCAAGACTGAGTCAATATTTAGTTTGAGCAATGAGGAGGAGGAGGGGGATTCTGTTTCCTCGTTTTGTTTTATAAATTAGTAATAAACAGAGGCAAACAGGGGAAGAGGGTATTCCCTTTCTCTCATTTGTTCTGCTGCTGCAATCAGTGCTGTATAGCGACTTTTCTTTTTTCTCATTTTCAGGGTTTCCTCTCTTTTGTTTGAAGCTGGTAATTGAGAGAATATAAATCGTCGGTTGAAATTGTGTGAATGGGAGACTAATAGAATGATTACCATGCTCTATCTCCCTAATTACCACCGGCCCTGATTGCGCAATTTGCCACCACTTCTGGTTCCGGTTTGACAGTCCCCTCAATCCTCTCTCTCTCATTGCTGGGGGTAATTAATTGCAGCCTGGTTAGGCTTGTAGAGTAGTAGTAGCCAGTGCCAACTCAGAACAACTCTTGAGCCGCCGTTGCTCTGCCCTTGCTCTTGCTGCTTCTGCTGAAAAAGAAGAAGAACAAAATAGTAGGCCACGGTGTCTGGTTGTAGTCGTAGTTGAGTTGTGGTTGTGTTGTTGTCTGGGCAGCTGACACTCGGCGACGCTTGGCGTGATTTCCGCGTTAGAGCGCTTTGCGAGCGTGTGCAAACACGCTCAGTCAACGAGCTGAGCTGAGCTGAGCTGAAATAGTTTTGGTTTAGAGGGGCAGTGGGACAGTTAGAGGACAGATTAGTTGCTTCTGCTGATCTGCTTCAGGAAGGAATAGTTTTGGAAAGAGGATTTGAGTCTTGCTTTTGCAGGGAAAGCTGGTTAATACTGTTTTTTAACTTTATTCATTTTAACGAGTAATTGGCAGGCAATTTTCAGGGAATTTTCAGTTTTTAAAAACCAAAAAAGTTTGATTTAGGAAGCAAAGATTTACTGCTGAAAGGATTCAGGCTCCCGTTCTCCCTTTTGCTAATTAACTTGCTGCTTTTGCCTGCTCCTGCGACGAGCAAACAAAACAAAAAATATATTTTGCTGTCCCTTTCAACTCCAATTCCTTTTAAGCAGGTTTTTTTATTATTAATTCCATCTGATTAGGCTTTGCAGTTGCAGCACGCACGCTTCGAGCATTTTAATTGTAAGGGTGAAGAGTTCAGCGAATATTCTTTGGAATAATCTTTTGCATTTGCATGCATTCTTTGTGTGTCGGTGGTTTTTTATTGTGATTATTTCACTCTTTTTTCTGACATTTGGAGTTTAGAGTTTTTTGTGCGTAGATTGCTTTCTTTTCTTTTCCTTTTTTCAATATTGCTGAGAAACGTCGAATAGCGTAAAGTTTTTCTCTTTTTCTTTTCAACTGAATTAATTAATAATGCAGCTAACACTGTCAGTGTCGCCATTTGGTTCCTTTCTTTTCTCTTCACAGCAGTTAAGGGATTTTTTGTTTCGACGGCATGCCAAAGGTCGCTTACTCTCTTGCTTGCTATAAGTAATTAGCTCCTTTTTGTTGTGTTGTTACGATAAGGGTAGTTTTAGTTCTTTGAGAAGAAGAAAAAGTTTTTAAAAAATTGCGTAGAGACCCTTTTGTGTTAGCTTCAACCTGTGTAAAAGAACTGAATGTGTGTTGTCTCTTTGTATTATAATTATTTTTTTATCTCTTTTTAGCTCTAAACTCCCAGACTCCATGGTTGACCAAAGCTGTCCGAATTAAAAAAACGCTCTCCCTGAACTTTCTTCTGTTCTTCATCAGCTGAGCTGAGCTCAACTCTCTCGCGAAGAAAAAATGAGCGGCGAGGGAGGCAGAGAAAACAGCTCTCGAACAGCTCCTGAACCGGCACCACCACCACCACCGGAAATGGCTGCCCAGCCGCCACCGACAGGAAATCTCATTGACTTTGGCGATGACCAAGAAGATGTGACGGATGGTGGTGATCCTCTTCCACCACCCGAACAGAGCAGAGGCAACCGGCAATCGTCTGTGATAGCAACTAAGGTACAACCACCACCACCAACTGATACAACAACTGATGCCACACCTACAGCAGTAGTTTGCAGTTCTTCCAGTACAAATATTACTTCTTCAACTTCCACCGCCACCACCTCGATTACCACTTCAACTGTGGTTCGAGAGAGGGCTGACCCTCTTCCTCCTCCTATTCCTGGTGCCCCTCAGTCGGCCAGTGAGAAGACACAGAGCCAAACAGAGCCGCCAACCTCCAGTACAATTACCCCGCTCCCTGAAGGGGAGGGACTGACACGAGCTTTCACCGAGAAGATGGCCATTCTCGACGCTGAGGTGGCCAAGCTGACGGAGGAGGAGGAGGAGAGGAAAGACAAAGCGTTCGCAGCAGCAGTAGCAGTAGTAACGCCTATACCTCCGCCATCACCTTTCAAAGGAGGTGATGAAGAAGATGAGGAGGAGGAGGAGAGCCTCGAGGAGGTGACCATCAGCACCAGCGATGATGACCCTCTGTCGGCGGCCTTGGCCATGGCGGAGGAGCTCGGCCATACAGCCCAGGCCGCTGCCGCCGCCACTTCGAGGGGAGGAGGAGGGGGAGGAGATAGCTGCCCTATAAGCACCACCACCACCACTACCTCTCTCCCCCTGGTGGACCTGAACCAGGAGTACCACCTGAAGTGGATCCGGTGGAAGGGCGCCCTGAAGCTGCCGGTGGTGACGCAGAACGCCAACGGGCCCTGTCCCCTGCTCGCCATCATCAACGTCCTCCTCCTGCGGAAGAACATCGAATTTCCGCCCATGATTGAAATTATCACGGCGGCGCAGCTGATGGAGTACCTCTGCGACTTTCTCCTCAACAATGTGCCCACGGTAGGAGACAGGGAATGCCTTCTCTTATTCTGTTTGGAAGTTTTTTTTCTAACTTTCCTCCCCCCCTTTTCCCTACAGAACCTACCCGAAAACGTCAAGCTCGACTTTGAGCAGAATCTGCAGGACGCAGTCACCATACTGCCGCGCCTCTCCACCGGCCTCGACGTCAATGTCAAGTTTTCAGGGTAAGTGTGGAGCGATTCTAGGTTATTTCATCGTGACAATTTCATTGCGAGCTTTTTCATCTCATGCAAACTAGCAGGGGGTAGCCGCTAGGCCCCCAGACCACCCGCTATATTACTTTAACTAACGAAAAAGTTGCGATGAAAAGGCTTGCAATCTAAATGTCCGCCTACCGTTAGAAGCGGGTACATTTTGTTGTGGAACTATTTATCTTAAGCTTTCCTTTTTTTTCAGAGTGGCCGAGTTTGAGTACACCCGGGAGTGCATCATCTTTGACCTGCTGCGCATTCCACTCTACCACGGCTGGCTGGTCGACCCGGCGGAGACGGAGGTGATGCGCGTGGTCGGCTCTCTGAGCTACAACCAACTGGTGGACCGCATTATCACCTACAAGGGCGGCAAGGAGGCGGCGGCGGCGTCGTCCAGCGTCTCTCCGGCGGTCGCTGACGGCGGGGNGTCAGCTCGGAGAGTAAGTGAATTACTTTTAAGGTTTTTCGATTTTTTGACTTATTTTTCTTTTCTCTAGTGTTCCTCGCGGAGGAGTTTCTGCACGCCTCGGCGAGTCAGCTGACGCACTACGGCCTCGCCCAGCTGATTGCCCGCGTCAAGGAGGACGAGCTGTGCGTGCTCTTTCGCAACAACCACTTTATCACCCTGTACAAGTACAAGGTGAGTGGATAACATTTAGACCTTGAGAGAATTTATTGAAAATTTTACCCCTTTTCCCTTTCTTTCATAAACAGGGCAAGCTGTACCAGCTGGCCACCGACCAGGGCTTCCTCACCGAGTCGAACGTCGTCTGGGAGTCGCTGAACAACATCGAGGGGGACACCTACTTTGTGGACGGCGAGTTTCACCCGGTGCCGCCGAAGCCGGCGCTGCCGCTCACTGCTAGCGGCGAAGTGGCGCCTTTCATTGCCAACACCCAGCAGCAGATTGATCAGGAGTGAGTGGACGGGTTTGAATTTTATTTGCATTGCATTTTAACTCTTTTTTCATTTTCGTACAATATCAGCTACTTGATCGCCCTGAGCTTGGAGGCGGAGCAGAAGCAGGAGATGGAGCGAAACTCTGCCGCCACCTCTGCCACCTCGCCCACCACTTCTCGAGCAGTGCTGGGCCGCGGTGCTACTCTGCAGTCTCCGGTCACCCCCACCTCCACTAACACTCCCACCATCATCAGGCCTTCTGCGGAGCCTTCTTCTTTTCCCTCGTACGCTGCTGCCGCCAAGCCGATGACCAACATCTCAACCGTTACGACCACTTCCGTCACCAGCACCACCACCACAGGTGTAAAGAACCTTCCTTCGCCGGTGAGCGAAGACGAGGCGCTGGCTCGACGGTTGCAAGAGCAGGAAGAGGCCGAGTACCAGCAGCGGATCAGGGAGAATGCCGCTCGGAAGCAGGAACAGCAGGATCAACAGCAGGCGAGGCAGCAGCAGCCGCATCGTCGGGTCATGTACGGCAGCGGCGGCGGCGGTGGCAGTTCTGCTGCAGGAGCTCCTCGAGGAGTCTCCGCGGCCATGGTGAACCACCACCCCAGTGAGGGAAGCAGTCATCATCGAGGCAGTGGTGGTAGTGGTGGTCACCATCAGGTGGCACCGCAGCCACCACCTCTTCCCAGGCATTCTTCAGGTGGTGGTGGTGGTAGTTTCGGTAGCTTCGGTGGCAGTCACCAGCAGTCATCAAGGTCCGGCGGAGGTGGCGGTGGTGGCCATCACCAGCAACACCGAAGATCTGCTGGTGATGGAGGAGGAGGAGGCGGTGGTGGTGGCCACGAACGACCTTCGGGGAGGTCGCTTTCCGAGGACGATGGCGACAGTCGAGGCAGCAGGGGCAGTAACAAGGTAAGGGGAAAATGGGAAAATATTCAACTTATTGAGACTAATCCTTACCCCTCCCCCACATTTAACAGTGCTCCATCCAGTGATTTTTTTTCTTTTTTCTCTTCTATTTCTCTTCTACCGGTTCTCTTCAAGTCTCTTCCACTTCTTTGCTTCCATTTTCTTTCATGCCCCGGTGGTCTTTCCCCCCCCCCACGCAAACGGACTCTTCTTTAACGGTTCTTTTTCTCCCCTTTCTTTCCGTCTCTTTCTCTCTCTCAATCTTTTTGTAAATTCCTTCACGCACTTTGATTTTTGAGATCTTTTACTTAACGAAGACGACGACGATGTCGATGTGGTGGTGGTGATCATCAGATACTGTCAATGCCGATGCCCAAGACGACTGCGATCTTTCTTCTTTATATCCTGTCTATTTCCCTTTTTCTATTCTATTCAATTTTTAAACTTCTGCACGTTCTGCTTTTTTCCTACCACCCACACCTTCCCTTTTTGATGATCCAGTCATCCGCTGTTCTTTCCCTTCTTTTTTCCGTGCTACGCGATCTTTGTCTTCACAAATCTTTTTTCTTTATGTTATATTGCCTAGGCTTTACCTTTCGTTACCTGTATCTGTTTTGTTCCCTGTTACCTTCTTCTGTTTGTTTTTCTCCTCTTCTGTACCTCGTGAAACTTAGCTCTAATTGTTGTAATTGATGCTCTAACTGTTCTACTTCTTTTTCTTTCATTTTTTCAATTCCAAACGTCGGAATACGCGACACCCAAGATGGCCATAATAAAACTCTGTCAGCCTATTCCAAAAAAATGGTTTTTCTTCCTCTGCACTGACTCTTTTTGCTCTACTAATTACACCGTTAAAGATATTTTATTATTCTAGTTTTCTGAACACGAAAAAAATAAAATTCACGGGCGATTTTTTGACGCCACTTTCAAGATGGCGACGATGGTGGCGTTCCTAGCGGCCAACATCAAAAACTATCTGCTTTTAATGATTCATTCTGGCAATTTTTTAAATGAGCGTTTCTCAGGCCTGGAGCATCGTAAAGTGATGAAACTTGCTTTAAATGAAAGCTTAAGACTTGGTGCACAATTTGTTTGTAAAAATAATTAGCTTTGACCAGTTTTGGTATAGTAAAAGTAATATTGAGAACTTTAGAACTAGATTTAAACAGAAAAATACTTGCTTAAACTAGAGTGANACTTAAGACTTGGTGCACAATTTGTTTGGAAAAATAATTAGCTTCGACCAGTTTTGGTATAGTAAAAGTAATATTGAAAACTTTAGAACTAGATTTAAACAGAAAAATACTTGCTTAAACTAGAGTGATTTACACACAGATTGTGCAACAAGTTTTTAGCTTTCATTTAAAATAAGTTTCATCGCTTTACAATGCTCCAGGTCTAAGAAACGTTCATTTAAAATATTGCCAGAATTAATCATTCAAAGCGGGTAGTTTCTGATGTTGGCCGCTACGAAATGTGAGGCGCCACCAGCGCAGACGGTTTTTTGGCAATTTTTGGCGATTTTTCACGATTTTCAGACTTCGCTGGTGGCGCCTCACATTTTGCAGCGGCTAACACCGGAACTATGAATTATTTTTTAAATAATTTTAAAATTAAAATTGACTATGTTCCAGTGGTTCTAGAGCAAAAACTCTTTCATTTTTGGAGTCTTCTCGTCGAGTACTTTAAGAATCTTCAATAAAAATTTTTTGGTCAGATTTTCAAAATTTGCAAGGCTATAGCCTTACAGGTTTAGCCGATTTGACCAAAAATCTCCCAAGTGAGAGGACTCAAAATCTGAAAGGATTTTTGCTCTGAGACAACGGGAACATGACCAACATTAATTTTAAAGTTAATTAAAAATTAATAAAGTTTCCGGTGTTGTCCGCTTGGAACGCCACCATCGTCGCCATCTTGAAAGTGGCGTCAAAAAATCGCCCGTGAATTTTATTTTTCTCGTGTTCAGTAAACCAGGAAAATAAACTTTATAGAACCCTTGCTGCCATCTAGCGGTTGTCAGACGAACATGGCAAAAGAATTCAATCAACCTGCACCAAAGTACGGTAATTCAACCTGAGTTTAAGTTTCAGAGTACCAGAGATTCACCCGGGACTGCTCCTCGAGCAGGCGAGTAGGCAAAAGTAAAGGTAAACAAAACACTTGTTTATTTAAATAATCAATCAATCAATAAAAAGAAGAACTGCTGAACCAAAAAAAAATAAACAGCAACAGCGACAAATACTGTGACCCGTGTTAGAACAAAAGGAGGATGAGGAAAGGCAGAAACTATGTACAGAAAAAAAGTGTCCAAGCCAGAGAGTAAAATTTCTCCCCTCTTCAGGAGATGAACTTGGCAAAGAGATAGGCGGCGAGGAGGAGGTAGAGCACCGTCCAGCCGGTGGTGGTGGCAAAGCCCAGCTGCACGTCCCAGGCGTCGATGGACCAGCCGCGGGCGAGGATCGCCCGGATGGAGTCCATGGCGATGGTCTGCGGAAGGAGCAGGGACACCGGGTAGAGCCACCAGGCAATGGAGGAGACCGGCCAGAAGATGCCGCTCATGAGGATGGTCGGCAGGAGGCTGCCCATGGTGATGATCGCCCCGCTCACCTCGTCGGGGCAGACGGCGCTAATTAGCAGGCCGTACATGATGCCGGCCACGCCTGAAACCAACACAAAAAAGACAGAAGCATTAGCATCCTATATCAAAACATATTTCACAAGAGGTTTGTCGTTTACCTTGGAGAAAGCACAGCAGAAAGACCCAGCCAATCGGCCCGCGGCTGGCCACCTCAAACACGTAGAAGATGGTAATGAAGAGCATCACCTGCTGCCCGATGAGCACCATCATCTGCGTGAAGACGTGCGAGAAGAGACACTCAAAGGGGCGGACGCCGGCCACCAGCGACCGCTCCAGGAGGCCGTCCTTCCGCTCGAGGATCAGCGCCAGCCCCGTGACGGCGGCCGTGGAGAAGAAGGCGATGATGATGATGATGCCCGGCGTCATCAGCTCCATCATCGAGCTGAGGTCCATCGACCCGTAGACGACCTCGGTGATCTCGATGGGCGTGGCCAGCGAGTTGGGATTGTAGCCGACAGAGCCGAGAAAGTCGGTCATCAGCGAGCGAAAGGCGAGAAAGATGTTCTGGATGATGGAGAGGCCGACAATGTGGTTGGACATGTCCAGGTAGAGGTGAACGTTGGAGGCCTCGATGGTCTCGTTCTCGGCAGCTGCGAGCTAGAGTGGAAAATCAAAGTTAGAAACACTTTTAAAAAATATCTCTCCTTCCACCTACATCAATCCGCCGATCATCCAGGGCAGTGCTAAAGTTGGCCCCAAAGTGGAGCACCGCCCAGGCCTTCCCCTCGACGACCATCTTCTCCGCCTCCTTAAGGTCGGTAAAGTTGTGCTGCACCAGCGAGCCGGGCGCCAGGTAGGAGAGAAACTTGGCCGTCAGGTCCGCCGGACGCTCCTCATTGACGACCGCCACCGGCAGGTTGGCGGGCGTCTTCCCCGCGGTGAGGATGAAGAGGCCAAACTGAAGCGCCGGGGAGAGGGCGTAGAAGAAGGTGATGAAGAGGTTCCGCCGCAGGCGGACGATGTTCTTCGTGAAGAGGGCGTTGAAGCGGTAGGGGTCAAAGGAGAGCGCGGGCCGGGCGGCGAAGGTCGGCTGACGCGGGTCGACGGCCGCCTCAATCGCCTTCGCTGATTTCTTCTTCTGCTTCGGTTTCTTCTTTTGCTGACCGTTGTTGTTATTGTTTTTATCCTCCTCCTCTTCGGTCTTTGCGTCAACATTCGTCTCCTGTTGAGCAGTTTCCAAACTGTTTTGAGCCTTCTGTTTTTCCCTCTCCTCAAACTCAGTGTCCTGCTGAAGGCAGAGCTTCAGAAAGACGTCCTCCAGCCGATCCAGGCCGTGCTCCGCCAGCAGCACCTCCGGCGCCGACTGCACCAGGAGGCGGCCGTTTCGCATCAGGCCAATGGTGGTCGCCGCCCGGGCCTCCTCGATGTAGTGCGTCGTGATGATGATGGTAGTCGCCGACTGGCGACAGAGGTCCTCGAGGTGCGTCCAAATGGCCGCTCGAAGGAGAGGGTCCACGCCGACGGTCGG